ACACACACACACACACACACACACACACACACACACACACAAACAAACACTCCCTGTCCCTCCCACCTTCTCTCTCAGCCAGCCTCCCCTTGAATACGAATGTGATCAGAGAAGGTGATGAATACAATATAATCTTATCCTCAAATCTTAAAAAGGAATGATATGGTAGCGTGAAAATAAACGAGTGCTTTATGTTGAGCAACGAGTGCATACATTTAGAATATCTCCAGATTTTAATTCTTCCCTTTTTCATCAAGAGATCTATGCTTTATTGGTGAATTTTATTTCTTAAGCGTTCCTGGATATTCTTCAAAAAGGTCTTGACTCTGAGTAGTATGTGCATATCATGCCAGAATCGTTTCTGAGATACATCAGTTCACATTACCAACAGTACTGTATTGAGTCTATTGGAACCAAGACAACCACTCATTCCCCACGAGAAAGGTGGTCATCGTATCGCTTCCTTAGAATTGCAAAGTTCTGACATTCTTGGCCGTTTTGAATGACTAAGACCATGAAGTATCAAATTTGTAAGTTAATTATTGGGAGTTGTTTTCAAGATTTTCAAAGAATCGCACTCGAAAAACCTTGACATGATTTGGAGCTCAAATTCCTTGACGTCAAATGTTTCAAAGCTAGGTGCTGAACAGATAGAGCTATGTAATTCTGAGGTGGCACTATACAGGTGGTCCTCTCAAACAGTAACATTATGGTGTCGGAAAAACGCGAGGAGTGGGCCACCCTTGAGTCTTTTTTGATATGTGTACTGTGCAAGAAGGGATAGCTTCTCATTTATCCTTCTCTAAAAATATACTTATTCATCATCATCAAGTACCAGATCAGCGACAGACATATATGCGTTCATGGTTCTCCATTCATTTCTTTGCTCGGATATTCTTTACCGTCACCCATCTGTTTAAGTCTAGGCAGTCCAAGTAAGTTGCTCTGGGTCTACCCCTGCCTCGTTTGCCTTCAATTTTGCCACTGAGAGCTATAAGTGCAAGGCCATTATGTCTATTCAACTGTCTCAGACACTGCAATATTCTCTTCCAAATTGTTTCTATCAGCGGGCTCCTTTAAGTACTACTTCATTTGATCTCTTTTCCTATCAAGAAACTCTCAGCAGTCTCCTAAGAAACTACATACTTATTACAAGGGGGAAAAATAATGATAATAATAATAACAACAACAATAATAATAATAATGAAAATAATAACAATAATAATAATAATAGTAATAATAATGATGATAATGATAATGATAATGAAAAGAAGAAGAAGAAGAAGAAGAAGAAGAAGAAGAAGAAGAAGAAGAAGAAGAAGAAGAAGAAGAAGAAGAAGAAGAAGAAGAAGAAGAAGAAGAAGAAGAAGAAGAAGAAGAAGAAGAAGAAGAAGAAGAAGAAGAAGAAGAAGAAGAAGAAGAAGAAGAAGAAGAAGAAGAAGAAGAAGAAGAAGAGAAGAATGATAATAATAATAATGATAATAATAATAATATATTATATACAATGTAATATCATGATGTGCATCTCATTCCTGGTCCTCAGCTGGTGGACTTCCAACGCCTGCTGTCTCACCACGACGAGCGACTGGCCAACCGCCTGAACAGCCAGTACCTGAGGGAGGAGTGGGACTTTGGGAAGGAGTCGCTGGGATCCAAGGAGATGTTCAAAGAGCCGCCCGTCTACACAGAGGGTAGGATTGCTCAGGTGGGTGTTTGCCGGAGGCAATGATGATGACATGTTCATAATGAAGCCCATGATCGGGCGAAACGTTGAACCTTTATCAAATTTATTTCTAAATTCTATAAAAACCCAACCCTTTTTTATTTCTTGCTGTTTACGACGACGACGACGACGACGATGATGATGATGATGATGATGATGGTGATGATGATGATGATGATGATGATGATGATGATGATGATGATGATGATGATGGCTTGAGAAATTTTGTTATCGTAGGCCGTAGCTTTGTTCTATAAGGGGAAATATTGCATATTCTTCAAAACCACCGTAGAACACTAACCTTTTCAGGATTGCCCAGGTAGGTGTTGCCAGAGGCCGCCACGTATTAGTTTAAATAAGAGTTTTACAGCACTTGCAACACAGTTATGTCATATAAATGTCGAAGATTAGAGTTAAAGTAAGTAAGTTTATTCTGTGTTTAAGGCCATTGGCTCACATCACTTCATACAAAACAGAGTTAGAGGTGTTACAAGAGAGCAATAAACGCATAAAGGAAGGAGGAGAGATAAAGACGATAGACGTTTGATAAGAAAGAAGGAGCAAACCACACAAGAGCACCCGCCAGTCACCCACTATGCCAAGTGTACAATATGAATGTAGATTCTATATTATACAATATACATTATATTAATAAATTGTTATATGAAGGGTGCACGGGAAGAAACCGAGGGATGTCATTTTTTTGGCAATTTGAAAATAAAAAATTAAATATTCTTGACCGCCCAAGTTTTTCCATAACATGGCTTTTTAATTTCCAAGCTTCATACGTGACGGCTCATCCTATTTTAGCCCTGGACATTTAGGTGGGGCTGAAGAGAAAACACTTTCCAACCCTCGTCACAACTCACAGTCATTATCCAAAAACTAACACCTCTTGTTTTCCCGTACGCTTTAAATGCATATCACACACACTCTCTCTCTCTCTCACACACACACACACACACACACACACACACACACACACACACACACACACACACACACACACACACACACACACACACACACACACACACACACACACACACACACACAATACTTAAACACACACACACATACACACATTTGTTTATATATATATATATATATATATATATATATATATATATATATATATATATATATATATATATATATATATATATATATATATGTATGACTAAATCTGGTTGGCCCCGATACAATTAGATTGAATCCAGTTGGCAGTGTGCATTGGGTTTACATAATGTATCCCTTAAAAGACAGCCAGAACTTAAGACGCCTGGTTCAATGCTCTAATAATAACCCAAAAGAAAAACACCAAACAAACAAACAACAAAACAGGCAAATCTTGAAATAATTATGATGATAATGATGACGATGACGAAGAATATGAAGAAGACCTTCTTGTTCTTCTTCTTGTTCTTCTTTTTTGTTCTTCTTCTTGTTATTATTATTATTATTATTATTATTATTATTATTATTATTATTATTATTATTATTATTATTATTACTATTATTACTATTATCACTATTATTATTATTATTATCATTATTATTATTATTATTATTATTATTATTATTATTATTATTATCGTTACTATTATTATTATTATTATTATTATTATTATTATTATTATTATTATTACCAGTCCTTGAGTTTTCCACCTCCGCCTAAGAATTAACATTTTACACGCAGGGCTACAATTGTTTTTAAAAATCGAAACGTTCTCACAGCAAGGTTGAAAAGGGGGCTGGGTTTAGATGAGCAACATTTCCAGAAGGAAGTAGACTTCAAACCAACTTAGCAGTATTTTCAGCCCGAGATGGTTCATTAGACTTTTCGATTAATAATCGGGTGTGGTTGCATCGATCTTACGTTTAGCGTACAGACTTGGCAGCTAATCAGTCATAAACCTGACTATTAATAAAGTGACTGGGGGCTGCCTGCACGTCATAAATTTCCCGCCATTAGAAGCCAATCACAGTGGAGGAGTTTTCTCCGTTTCCAAACAAGGATTAGGGCGCACAAAAGTGATGGAGAGCAATTCGGTGTCTGGATTACTGCCCCAGCCACGAAGTAATCCTTGGTTACAATGGCCACTTTGTGGTGGAGCTTCATTATTTTCTATTTTCTCTTTGAACCGTTTTTAGATTGGGAGTTTTAGTGGGAGAGCGGTGATGGTTGGAGGATTGGGGGGGGGGGAGGGGATGTTCTATATTTCTATAACACAAGTTATGGGCACACGAAGGTTGGTGGTGTCAATCACTCGGATTTCTTTCTTTATTTTTTAGCGAGTAGTTCTAAGATACGATAAAGTAAAAAAGAATGAAAGACCAAGATTTGACATAGGTCTGAAAAGTAAAAAAAATCTGTTTTGCTTTCGTGTTTAAAGGTCTTTTTGGCTTTTGAGGTCCGATTTGATTTTAAGGACAGATTTATGGCGCTTTCGATCCTTTCGGAAAAGTGCGCTACTATGATCAGATAAAACTGTCTCGGCAAGGAAGGAAGTAGAACTCTCCTCCGATCATTTCACCTTCTGCCCTGGAAGTTCATTGTAAAATGTATAAATTCAAGACTTATGCCTCCTTCATGGGACCTTGTCGCAACAGCCTGCTACAGAATTGCTGTATGCCGCGAGCTATAATGACGAAAACGGCCATATTTCGCATGTAAGGTCAACACGTGTATTAAGTACATGCCCTACCCATGATAATAATCTGAAGAGTAGAAACCACAGAACTCGCACTTACCACCATCTTCTTTGTCACAGACCTACATTCCTTGCCATTTGTTAAATACATAGTGGTTTTCAGGCATGTTCTGTTCTGTTTTCAGAGGCCTGGTTTTCGTCTATGTTCTTGTTCTCTTTAAAAAAAAATTATTTTAAGTTCATTTTTGTTTTGGGTTAAACTTTTAAAGTTTCAAATTTAATCCTGTTTTATTTTATTTTCCGGGGGAGGGGGGGATGTTTGTGTGTGTGTGTGAGGGGTGGGGTGGGGGGTGGGGGGTAAAACGATTTTAAAGGTGGCAATATCTATCGCTTGGGACTACAAATGAAACTTCAAAGTCCAGACAGACATTGCTATAGTTTTGGTTCCGAAACACCGATGTATGTGAAAACTCAAGACGAATAATTGGCACTAGACACTTATTCCAACCTATGATGGTCTTGTTTGTGACTTATCATATAAAACTGCTTATTTACTTTAGTAATACTGCACTTACAGTAATGTTGGTTCTGTTCTTTTCTAATTTTTCTATATAATCATTTGCGTTGACAGTTGTCTGATTATGGTGATGATGATTACATACAGTACGGTGCATGTAATTATTTTACAAAAATGATGTTATCGCTTTTGTTAGTTGTTGTTGTTGCTGTTGTTAATTTTCCTTTTGTGTTCTGCTGCTACTATCGGTGAACACGAAGTTGTGCACGCTAGTATTGTTATTATGATTGTTGTTGTTGTTGTTGTTGTTGTTGTTGTTAATGATGATGTCTTGAAAATTTTGTTATCGTTGGCCATGGCTTTTTCTGTTGGGGAAATATTGCATGTTCTTCAAATTCACTGTAGACCAATAATCTTTTCAGCGTTTTGAATCCGCCATTCACCCGGAAATGTCGGCCTCAACTAGATCCGAGGTGATTGCTGGTGACCGTAGACTTGAATTATAGTATCCTAGACCGCGCACTGTCATGGCCTCCGCTCTTTGCGCTCCGTTAAAAAAAACAAAAAATTCACTGCTGAACGTTCGCACCTTGGAGGCCAAAGTGAAGGGGAAAGCACCAGTCTCACCATACATGTAGTTGAGGGCGCGTGGCATCTTTGCTCCCTTTTCCTTTTATTTTTTTGACTCTAGGTCTAAACTGAGTCAAATGGTGTGTTCCACGGGGAACCAGACTTACGTCACAGTTCACTGTCTGGGATAACAATAATCCAAGTGTCTCATCAGTGTCGCTAGCGTCGAACCAGCCGTTTGTGTACAGCTCGTTGTCTTTGCTTTGTAGATTGCCAGTGGGTGGAGGAGGGGGGAGGGGGAGAGGGAGTGGGACACGTACAATTTTAGGGAGGGCTTGAGACTTAAATAATCTTAGGGAGGGGTGTGGATGTGCAATTTTATACAAATGCAATAGCCGCCCAGTATTGTACAAAGGAAAAGAAGCACGCCGGAAGGGGATTTCTTAAATAATTGTATTTGGTTGTTGTTTTGTTTTGTTGTTTTTTGTTGTTGTTGTTGTTTGTTTGTTTGTTATTGTTGTTGTTTTGTTTTGTTGTTGTTGTTGTTGTTGTTTGTTTGTTTGTTGTTGTTTTTTTGTTGTTGTTTTTTTGGGGGGTATGTTAACAGTTCAACAAGAATACGCACTGTCTTCGTTTTTCAAAAACATTTTTTTAAAACCTGCAGTTGGTATGCAATCCACTTCTGTAACAGACGAACGCGGAAAGATAAAAATCTGTTCCTTTCTGTTAGTTTCTGTAATATAATATATGCGTGCTGCATGTGTCACTGCATGTGTGTATGCATGTGTATGTAGGTCTAAGAAATTAATAAAAAATCTATGTTCAATCCGGCAGACAACGGGTCCCGCACCGTACCCTGTTACATGAATTGCCTTGAAACTGCTCGATAAACCTGTCCAGACTGTCAAGACACCACTCTTGCCTGTGTGTTGCTTTTGTTTTGCCTGTATATTTTATACTGCGAGTTGTTTGTAATATTGCTTTCGTGTAGTGCAGAGCTATTTTATATTATTATGCTCTTGTTTTGTTTCTTTGGAAAACGAGTATAAAAATACGTTTTTGTTTTTTAACGGGGTTATTCTAGGCCTGCTTTGTGCTCGAAATGTGAACGGAAAAAGCTCATGCCGGGCAATTTGAATCACTGTATTATTATATATCTTTTTAATGGGGGGGGGGGGGTTACGCCCTCATCAGCATAATTTGGATCATTTAAATGAGTGGGTTTCGATCCTGGCTGTCTGGGTAAACCCAAGCTGAGAGGGATGCATCATCAAAGCAGAAAGATCGAGGTAAATATTCTCCCAAGACTGGGATCGAACTGAGGTCTTCCGTGTGTTACAGTGGAGCGCTTAACAGCTATACCAGAGTCCCCCCACCAGGGCAGTGCTGCTGACTGAAGTGTCTTTAGGCCATTCCCAAATGGGGGATATTAACATTTTCTTAGGCACAGTAGAATTGTAAATGGGCTAATTTATCAATGGCATGCTCATACTATGCCGGAACAACATAAGGGGAAATTGCTGCTTTTTCTTTCCTCATCCTTACTATCGTCATTTTTTCTCTGCTATATGTGTCACTCACTTGTGAACTGCTATTTCCGGGGCGCCTTGATAGTCGAAGCAGTCTTTTTGCTGTTGAAGCTTGAGAGGTGAGCAGAGTATACATGATTCCCCGTCTGAACTTCTCTGTTTGACATCCACCCCTTGGCGCTCATATGACCTTATGCAGTTGCGAGCGCCGTAAAACCTTACTAAAACTAACAACACAAATTCCGGTAGATCTACATTATTTACTTAGATTGATATAGATCTAACTGATTAACCTACTGCATATTCCCTGCGATGGCATTCCGCTGCCTTAGAATGACAAAGTTCTATCTGACATTTTTGGCTGTTTTAAGTTACTCATGAGGTCAGAAACAAAATGTTGTATCTGCTCTATCGAAATCGTAAGATTTTTCGGAGTCGTTATTAAGGCATCCGTAGAATTTCATTTGAAAAAAGTGTGACATGTTGTGAAACTCACAATTTTTAAAGTCAAATTTCTCAAAACTAGGTACAGAGCTCAGATAGAACTTTGTAATGTTAAGACAAAGGTAGCGACTTTCTCCAACGCACCCATTAGACTACATCGCAGGTTGCGGCATTGTTGTACATAAATTATTTATGTAGGCATTTTCTGATGCAGCGCTAGTTGTTTGTATGAAAATTTACGTTAAATCAAATCGCCTTATACCCAAAGTGGTTAGCATTACTGTTATTCTGTTCGTTCATTATTCTATCGTTCCTGCGTCTCTTGTTTTGCGTGTATGTTCATTCGCTGTCCGTATCTGTTTTTATCTCTCTGATTTCCTATAGTTGATGGTTTACTCCCCCTTTGACACAATTTAGATTAAAGTTAATGGACGGGCTGCTTTAATTAGCTCAACCCTGCCAAGCACAGCCATTATTGCGCAGTGTTGAAGTTAATTAGTTTGTATTTCGCTACATGTATCACATTCGATCAAGGAACAGCTAACTATTTTGAGAGGCAATTTTTAAAACTCCTTTTTTTTCCTTTCTTTACTCACGTCCATTTCAGACAACGTATTTACCCATTACCTTCTATCTTTTGTTAAAATGAATAAACATAAAAAACTTCTTGAACTTGTACCATTCTGTAAACAATTATCGAGTTAAACTTTTGTTGTGCTGAATTATGTTTTCTTTCGTAAAATGTTGTAATAACTGCCATCTCGTAGCCTACATTGCTTTCAGCTAGTCAATGCAGTGCTCCGTAAGGGTTTATACTTTGATATTGCTACCGTACAAATGCTGCACACATGCAATACTCGTATAGAATACACAATTGCATGTGTGAATGGAACTGTTTGTTATCGTCTTTTCACCTTGAAGAGGATCTTAAAGGAAGTACGTGTACTATATAATATTTGGTGTACTCTAAGCGATTAGTGGTCTTCGTTTCCTGCTTTGCTATACGTATTATTTATGCCCAAAAAGTGGTATATCTAGTTGTTCTGTTCGTTCATTATTCTATCGTTCCTCTCTCTCTGTCTTTGTCTGTCTCTTTCTCTCCCTCTGTCTCTCGCTCTGTTCCCCCCTCTCTTTCTCTCTCTCTCTCTCTCTCTCTCTCTCTC